TGTTTACCTGACTGCCCACAACTCGTCTACATTTTGCAGGACAGATGATTGGGCATTTTTGGTGGCCCACCTTTATTGAGGCCTTTAAGTAGCCAATTAATGGCTTTTCTAGTGCCCCGGTAGTATTTTACTTGTGGGTGAGTTAAGACCCACCCTGTGTGGGACGCTCACCAGCTCGGGTTGCTGGGCTGCAGTTGGGAAAGAGAACAGAGTTCCTTTGCAGAACTCCTGGGCTCTCTGGAGGTTCTATCACTTAAGCCCTTGTCATGACTCCTGAAGCCGGTAGCCCACCCTTCCCACCTTACGGCCTCCTTCTCCCAGACCACAGACATATTTGACATGGTGAGATTGCCTGTATTCACAGCAGTGGTTCCCACTAAAGCTACTGGAGCTACAGAGCTATTGACTATCCAGTTGGCCAGCACTTGTCTAAGGTGCCTGGTTGCCCAGGTTCAGGATATCTCATCTGGGCAGCAGAGGAACTTAGAGTGAGAGGGTAAAGATCCTGTTACAGTGGCCTACTGAGGTACCAATGATATAGGTAGAAAGAGTAAAGAGGTTTTGCTGAGGGAATATAAGTAGCTAAGGGCTAAACTGACAAACAGAACCAGAAAGGTAATGGTCTCCAGATTACCACCTGAGCCATGAGAACATTGGCACAGGGTCAAAAAGATTAAACAGATAAATGTGTAGGTCAAAGATTGGTGTGGGAGAAATAGGTTCGAGTTCATGGGACATTCATACCAGTACTGGGGAAGAAGGGAGCTATCTGAAGGATAGGCTCCACCTGAATCGTGATGGGACCAGAGTCCTGGAAAATCACACATTTAGGACTGTGGATAAGGCTTTAAACTAAGCAGTGGATTCAGTTGTATGGAAAATTATGGAACACCTTAAAGGCCCAGCCGAGCTTATTAAAGTTTCCAGAACAAGTAATAGAATATAGAGCATGGAAAGGATCAGGAATCTAACTTTAGACACAGCAAATAAGGGGATAACTATGAGAAGGGGGGCAGTCAATGCAAGACTGGGGGTGTTGTAATTAAATGCATGCAGTATACAAAACAGGGTAAGTGAGGCTGTAGCGCAGGTTGAAATTGGCAGGTACAATGTTGTGAGTATCACAGGGATGTGCCTGCAAGGGGATCAGGGCTTGGAACTAAGCATCTAAGGTTACATGTCCTATCGAAGGGACAGGCAGATAGGCAGAGGGGGTGGTGTTGCCTTGTTGGTAAAAATGAAATTAAATCAATAGCAAGGAGTGATAAAGAGTCAGAAAGTGTAGAATTTGCGTGGATAGATTTGAGGAACCATGAAGGGAAAAACACCTTAATGGGAGATGTGTACAGGTCTCTGAACAGTAGTCAGGATGTGGGGAAGAAATCAGGAAATAGAAAAGGCATGTAAGAAAGACACTATTACAATAATCACAAAGGAATTCAATGTGTAAGTGCATTGGGAAGATCAGGTTGGTAGTGGATCACAAGAAAAGGAATTCATGGAATGTCTATGAGATGTTTTTATTTAAGAGCAGCTTGTGGAGGAGCCCACTAAGGAACAGGCAATTTTGAATTTGATGACGTGTAATGAGGCTGAATTGATTAGGGAGCTTAAGGTGAAGGAATCCCCAGGTAGTAGAGACCATAATATGATAGAATTCATCTTGCAGTTTGAGAGGGAGAAGCAGATACAGCCGTGACGCTGTTGACTTGCTCGTCGAGCTGGGTTGTTCTCGTTCAGACGTTTCATCACCATGCTGGGTGACATCATCAGTGAGGCCTCCGATGAAGCAATGTTCTTCTACTCCGCTTGGAATTTACACTGTCTGGTCCGTTATGGTGAGTAGTGTCATTTCCGGTTTTGATCTGTATGGGTTTGTATATGGGGTCCAATTCTATATGTTTGTTGATTGCATTACGGGTGGAAAACTATGCCTCTAGGAATTTCCGTGCTTGTCTATGTTTGGCTTGGGCTACTATGGTTACCTTGTCCCAGTTAAACTGATGGCCTTCATTGTCTGAATGTACCGATATTAAGGAGAGTTCATCGTGCCGTTTTGCTGCTAGCTGATATTCATATAGGATAGATGATTGGCTGACTGGCAGAAGACAGAGAATATGAATAAAGGAGTCATTTGCAGAATCGCAACTGGTGACTAGTGCAGCTCTGCAGGGATCAGTGTTGAGACCACAACCATTCATGTTATGCATTAACGATCTGGACGAAGGAACTGCGGGCATTGTTGCGAAGTTTGCAGATGGCACAAAGGTAAGTGGAGGGACAGGTAGTGTTAAGGAAGCAGGGAGGTGGCAGAAGGATGTGGACAGGCTAGGAGAGTGGGTAAAGAAGTGGCAGATGGAATGCAATGTGAGAAAGTGTGAAGCAATGCACTTTGGTCGCAAGATTACTTATATAGACTATTTTCAAAACGGAGAAAAGTTTTAGAAATCTGATGGACAAAGGGACTTGGAAGTTCTAGATCAAGATTCTGTAAAGGTTAACATGCAGGTTCAGTTAGCAGTTAGGAAATCAAATCAATGTTAGCATTCATTTCCAGAGGGGTAGAATACAAAAGTAGCAATGTACTGCTGAAGCTATATAAAGCTGCTGTCAATATTTGGAATATTGTGAGCAGTTTTGGGCTCTATATCTAAGAAAGGATATGCTGGCATTGGCGAGGGTCAAGAGGAGGTTTACAAGAACAATCCTGGGGAATGAAGGTCTTGTCACATGAGGAGCTGTTGAAGACTGTGGGTCTATACTTGATTGAGTTTAGAAGGGTGAGGGCGGATCTGATTGAAACTTATAGGATACTGAGGGACCTGGTACAGATGACATGGAGAAGGTGTTCCTATTGGTAGGAGAGATGAGAACCTGAGGGCACAGCTTCAAAGTGAAGGGTGAGCCTTTGGAACTGAGATAAGGATGAATTTCTTCAGCCAGAAGGTGGAATCTGTGGAACTCTTTGTCATAGAAAGCTGTGGAGACCAAGTAATTGAGAGTATTTGAGAGATAGATACAGTTTTGATTAGTAAGGGGATCAAGGGTTACAGGGAGAAGGCAGGAAAATGGGATTGAGAAACATATCAGCCACGATCGAATAGTGGAGCAGACTCGATGGACTGAATGGCCTATTCCTGCACCTAATTAGTATGTTCTTGGGTTTTTTCTCATCAGGCCTTATCTTATCAAAAGATTCCTAGGTTCAACTTTGAAGAAACTAAAGCAGTATACATGCAAAAGACACAAATATCCAGTTCATATCACTGGATATGTGCTACAATTATTGTACCCACAGGTTATGAAAGCATTGATTATAGAAGCCTGAGTCAGCTGCTATAAACAAAACAAAATACATTTCAGATTATTTTGAGGAACAACCAAAAGCACTAAATGAGCAGGGACAGATTTAGCACATTTTAGTTCATACCACACATTATCTCTTCAAACAGCTTAAGTTTGAGAAGGATTCCCAATCATTCATATGCAGAGTCATTAGATATTAGTGTAAATGAGCACATTGAGATCAGTACATTAGCAGAGGTCATTAGCACGGATAGAGAACAGGTTAATTAACAGAAGAGAGTTGGGATAAATTGGCGACTTGCAGGATGGCGAACTAACCAATAAGGTACTACAGGGATCAGTGCTGAAGCCTCAACTATTTGCAATCTATATTAATGACTTGATAAAAGGAGTGGAGGATTGTAGCAAAATTTGCCAATTATGCAATGATCAGTAGGAAAGCAAATTGTGGGGAAGATACAAAGAGTTGCAAAGGGATATCAATAGGTTAATGAGTGGGTAAAACTTTTGCAGATGAAGCAGAATGTAAGTAAAATTGAGATTGTCCACTTTGACAAGAAGAACAGAAGACAAAGTACATTTAAATTGAAAGAGACAACAGGATACTGCAGTACAGAGGGATCTGGATACCACTGTGTATGAAGCATAAGTACAGCCAGTAATTAGGAATGCAAATGAAAAGTCTGTCTTTATTGAAACAGGACAAAGTATTAAACTAGGGAAGTTTTGCTCCAGCTGTACAAGACATTGGTGAGACCACACCTTGGGTACTGTAATCAGATTTGGTCACTTTACTTAAGGAGGAACAGTTCAGAGATGAATTGTTGGGATGAGAAGTTTAATTTGAAGAAAGGTTGAACATGTTGGGCCTATACTCATGGCAGGAACAATACAGAGAAAATGTTTCATCTCATGGGGAAACTGAGAACCGGTAGCCACACTTTAAAAAGAAGAGCTTTCCCATTTAAGACACAGATAAGGATGAATTTCTTTAAAAGGATCATCAATATTTGGAATTTTCTTGTCCAGTGAGCAGCACATTACATTCCTGAATAATTTCTAAGGTTGAGTCTGGCATATTTTTTGATTGACAAGGACATCAGGACTTATGGAGAACAGGAAGGGAAGTGAAGTTAAGGCCACAAGCAAATCAGCCATAAACTTATTAAATAGTGAACCAAGCTTGATGTATTTACTGGCCTACTCCTGCTATTATTTATCTTATATTCTGCACCCGGTAATAGCAGGATAGCTCTGAGGATTTTTTAAGTTAATTTCTAGATGCTTAAGTATTTTTTTGCTCTGGGATGCCTACATCTTTAAAGATAATCACATATGTCAGCAGTGACTAGAGGACAGCACCACTAGACTGTAAATGTTTCAAAAGAAGCGATATACTTTTAGCTGATGTGAAGATGACAACTTTGTGTTTTAAGGGTATGCTGACGAGTGCAGTTGAAGAGGCATAAATAAAGCTTACATTTGATATTAAGATACACAGTCTCAATGCAAATTCATAGAATCCCTATAGTGTGGAAGCAGGTCATTTGGCCCATCAAGTTTACACCAACCCTCCAAAGAGCATCCCGCCCAGACCCAGAATTATAATTTTTAATTCCATTTAGCTCTATTCGTGAATAAAACAGTGATGTAAATTTTCTATTAGCAATAAACTAAACTTAAAATCTTGTTACCATATGTTGTTATAGCTGCAGTTGCACTTCTCCGTCTGGCAACTATATTCTTTGCCACACACGTGTAATTTGCTGTGTCAGACAGACGAGCTTCTTTGATGATCAAATTATGGTCCATGGTGATGTAAAAGTTAGGATCTAGAGTTGGATCAATCACTTCTTCATTCTTCAACCATTCCACCTTCAGAAACAAAGTTTGTAAGTTCCATGCAGATAAGAAAGGGTAAATTTTAGAAAACTACTGTTCCAGTTCTAAACTTCAAGGTGACACAATTGTGTGTTGGAGAAACAGCACAGAGGTGAGTACAATACAAACAGAGACTGCCGGAAAATCTCAGCAGCTCTGGCAGTATCTGTCAACAGAGAAACAGAGTTAACAATTCGAGTCCAGTAAGATTGTTAAGTTTCTCTCTTGATGGATGCTGCCAGACCTGTTGCATTTCTCTAGCACTGTCTGCTTTTACTTCCAATCTCCAGCATCCGCAGTACTGATGCTTTTGTTTTAAGAGGTGACTATGCCTGATTCAAAGTACTTTCAGTTTGTAGTCACCATATTTTTTTGGAAATATGTGGTTTGAGGTGTTCACTTCTGGAACCAATTCTCTGATCAACAATATTTCCAACCCAAGCTCTGCGCAAGAACAAACATCATCGCATTTACTCTTAAAAGTTGTTTGAAAAACTATTATCAACAATGCTTTTATTACTGATTAGAAAGATCATGACTGAACTAATAATACTCAACTCCACTTCCATGAACTTTCCCCTAAATTCTTGAGCTCCTTATTGAATAAAAATCTGTTTGTCTCAGTCTTAAATATGTATAATGACACAACCTCAACAGCGAAGAATTCCACTGATTCACTACCCTCAGAGAGGAAATTCCTCCTTAATTCTGTCTTAAATAAATGGCCCCTTACACATGACATTATGTCCTCTGGTCATAGAGTCTCTGACTAGGGGAAACAACATCTCAGTAACTACCCTGTCAAGTCCCCTAAGAATTTTACATATTTCAATAAATTTGCCTTGCTTTCTTCTAAGGTCTGATGAGTACAGGCCCAATCTACTCAATCTCTCCTCATAAGTCAGTCCCTCCATAGCTGAAGTACAATTTAAATAGGTATTGAATGATAACAAAGGATATGAAATAGTGGTAAAAAGTCTTCTTTTAACTGTTGGGTGGACTGAATTGAACAAGGTGCTTTCTCTAAACCACCAACACTGCAACTTCATGTCGCCTACAGTGAAAACCCCTAAGCTTTTTGTTTACTTCTCTTTCCCCCTCATGGGTTTCCTTTTTACCTTGTGGTAAATTATCTTCACTATCATCAAATGAGAGTTCCTTTTCCCTTATCACCTGAGGATTTCTCTTTTCCCCAATTTCTATCCCTCACAGATTGAAACTGATGTTGGAAACGAAACTTTAATTAATGAACCAACTCATAATCATCTGCCATGTCATGATGTGGAGGTGCCGTTGTTGGTCGGGGGTGGACAAGGTCAGAAATCACACGACACGTGGTTGTAGTCCAACAGGTTGATTTGAAATCACAAGCTTTCGGAGCCCTGCTCCTTCTTCAGGTGTTAGAGAGAGAGTTGGTATCAGACACAGAATTTATAAGTAAAAGATCAAAGGGTCACACCACTGATGAGAATGTGTTAAACAAATCTAAGGTGCTGCTAAATCTTGAATCAGTTAGAAGGTTTTAATTTATTAATATATTTATACATGGAAATCCCTGAATTTCTTTGTCCCTGACGCCATTGCCCTGAGAAAACTAAAGGTTTTATCAGTGTAAAGAAAAAATTTTCGGTCAGACAATGCATGTTAGATGTGAGGCCTTATTTAGAATATGTTTGTGCCTTGGTTTAGTGTCAGACTGGTTTTATTTCTAAAGCAGGAATTTACAAAATAATACATTGACTGTGTGTTTTTTGAACATGCCATTTCCACTGCTAATTTTGCAGTCTTAACGCTCTGCTCTTCCACTTGAGTTCTCACTACTTCAAGAAGTGAATTTTTTAAAACCTCCAAAATGATTGTATAACAGCATCATATAAGATCATTGCTCTTATCCACCTGTCAAAATTACTTTGTCTGATCCTTTCAAATTTCATATAGGTTTGACCAGGTTCCCTCATTACTTTCCTAAAACATTGATAGGCTTCTAGTGCAAGCTCATATGCACTTAAGATGGCTCTTTTAACCTCATTGTTCTCTCCAGACAGCTCCTCTGATAGTGATGCAAATACCTCATTATTTCTACCTACCAACTTTGTTTGGATCAACAAAACCTACATGGTCACAAGCCATTTCATTTGTTTAGCCACTTTCTAAAATGAAATGAAAACAGCTTCTACGTTCTTCTTGTTGAACTTAGGTAACACTTGCACATATTTAAACAAATCCCCACCAGGCCTTTGGCTATGATAGGATTGCTCTCCATAACTATTCTGATGTTTCACTCCTACCTCTGCCATTTTAAGTCAATTTGAGTTTTCAGTTCCAACCTCCAAAATTCAAGACTCTCTCCTTCTCCGTTTTTTACTTCTAGGGATTTCCTTTCCTTCCCTTTTTCTTCTGCTAGAGCTATTCTCTCTTTCTGATTTTCTTCTGTGTCCAATCATAATTCAAACTGTTTCATTTCCTTTTCATATTCAAACTGCTTCATTTGCAATTTAATTTTAGTCATTTCCAAATATTCCAATAGCATTTCCAGTAATCAGAAATGTTGAGCTATTGCTGCAATTACCTCCCACTTTTGCATGGACAAAGGTAACCCCAACTCCAGCATGTCTGCCAATCCCAAAAGTTTTGCCTTGCTCACTTTCTATACAACTCCCAAAGTTACTTCTTCTACCCCCAGGAAACTCAGTGACTGAAAAAGCCATTATTACATAAGGCACATCCTATTTAAACCAACCAAATGCAACACCCGAAATTTAAAAAAAAACACCAACACTCACCATTCAAGGTTTTGAGTCCAATAATACTAAACCCAACCTGGAATTAGAGATTTTGATCCTGACAAGTGCCCCCAATTTGTTATGGACCAGACTAAACCCCTTCAAAATATGTTAAGACAACTAGACCCTAACTTTTTCTTATCTTAAAGATAAGAGTAAGGCGTTGCATTCCAGATGTAATTTAATTGGTCAGACTACAACTTTAAGCAAAGCACACTTTATTTTTACACTATAGACAAAATACAGATAAAATAAAAATAAAAGTTATGCATTCAAAAGTCTCTATATTGAACAAAATCAATACAGAACCCAGAATGCATCGTTAAGCAACCATGCTCAGAAATTAAGCTGACAAAGATTGTCAAGCTAAGAAGAACAAATACGAAGGAAAGTGTAAATACAACATTTGGAGAACTACGAAATGAAATCATGACAGAAAAAACTAGCAAGATTGACAAAAAAAAACAGATTTTGAAGAAAATAACCAGCAAGGCTGTATGAAAATTACTCATTTAAGCTTTAAGAAATTCAAATTACATAATTTGATCTTGACATGTTATTACTGATGTGACAAGCTTTCACGTTCCCGAACCCCAGGAGATTAAATTATGGTGGGCAGGAACATTGCAAGAACATAATATATTCCTTCTGCCTATCCTGCTTGCTAGGGAACATTAAAATTAGGGTTTCTACAAGAAGACAAGGACAAAAAGAAGCTATTCAGCCCTTTAAGTTTCCTCCACCACTCAGTCCCCTCTCAGCCTGCTTCATGGCTGATCTGATTATAGCTGCAACTCCCTTTTTCTGTCTGCCCTGCATAACCCTGGACTTTCTCCTCATTCAAAAATCTATTTAACTGAGCCTTAGGTAAAAATCATTACATTACTAGGTTATTCTAAATTTTCATTATTCATTATTATAGAAATTTCAATGATTTTTTTTACCTGGTTGTCTGTTGATGTGACTGCTCAGTGTATTAGAGTTTGTTTTAATATGTGGGGAGAAAATCAGCCAAAGAAGAAATATATGCCATACAAATTAACATGACGATTCCCATGAGGGTGAAGAAGGAAAAGTTTTAAACAGTGAGTTCATTTTTAAATAAATTTTGTTAGAGTAGGATATCAACTTCCTTCCTTATGGCAGATCACTCAAGGATAAAGGAGGGAACTTGTGCTTGGAGGCAGAGGATGTGGCTGAGATCCCAAATGAGTACTTGGCTTCAGTATCATCAGGAGAAGGATATGGAGGATAGTGAGATTTGTGCAGAGCATACTAATATGCTAGGATATTTTGAGATCAAGAAAGAAGTGGTGTTGGATTTCCTGAAGAGCATTAAGGTGGATAAGTCCCCAGGGCCTGATGGTATCTACCCCAGGTTAGGGAGAGAGGCAAGAGAGGAGATTGCTGGGGCCTTGACTAAGATCTTTGTATCCTTGCCAGCCATGGAAATGTTCTGGGGGACTGGCGAGTAGCTAATGTTATTCCTTTGTTTAAGACAGGAAACGGGGATGATTCAGGAAACTATAGACTGGTAAGTCTCACATCGGTGGTTGGGAACCTATTGTAGAGAATCCTTAGAGATAGGATTTACATTTGGAAAAACATGGCCTATTCAGGGACAGTTAGCATGGCTTTGTGCAAGGCAGGTCACGTCTTACTAACTTGATTGATTTTTTTAAGGATGTAACAAAGGTGATTAATGAGGGTAGAGCAGTAGATATTGTTTATACGGATTTTAGTAAGGCTTTTGACAAGGTCCCTCATGGTAGGCTCATCCATAAGATTAAGATATATTGGACACATGGTGACTTGGCCGCATGGATTCAGAATTGACTTGCCTATAGAAGACAGAGGGTAGTGGTGGAAGGGTGTTTTTCAGGCTGGAGGACAGTGACTGGTGTACTGCAGGGATCCACACTGGAATCTCTGCTGTTGGTGATATATATAAATGACTTGGATGAAAATATGGATGGGTGGGTTAGTAAGTTTGCAGACAATACAAAGATTGATGCAGTTGTGGACAGTGTAGAAGATTGTCAAAGGATACAGCAGGATATCGATCAGTTGCAGATATGGGCAGAGAAATGGCAGATGGAGTTTAATCTGGTAAGTGCGAGGTGCTGCACTTTGGGAGATCAAATGTTAAGGAAAAGTATACAGTTAATGGCAGGACTCTGAACAGCATTGATGTACAGAAGGATCTTGGGGTTCGAGTCCATAGCTCCATGAAAGTGGCCACGCAAGTAGATAGGGTGGTAAAGAAGGCATATGTCATGCTTGCCTTTATTGGTCAGGGAATTGAGTACAACAGTCAGGATGTCAAGCTGCAGCTTTAAAAGACTTTGGTTCGGCCACATTTAGAATATTGCATTCAATTCTGGTCGCCACATTACTGGAAGGACGTGAAGGTTTTTAGAGAGAGTGCAGAAGAAGTTTACCAGGACGCTGCCTGGATTAGAGGGTATGAGCCTTAAGGAGAGGCTAGAAAAACTTGGGGTGTTTTCTCTTGAGCGGTGGAGGCTGAGGGGAGACTTGATAGAATTTTATAAAATTATGGGATGCACAGATTGGAAAAAGATTCTGACCATCAACCCTAAATTGAAATGTCAAATACGAGGGGGGGGGGGGAGTTCAAAGGAGACGTGAGGGGCAAGTTTTTTTTTAAACTCAGTGAGTGGTAGGAGTCTGGGATGCAGTGCTGGGGTGGTTGTTGAGGCAGATACGATAGGGGCGTTTAAGGAACTTTTAGATAAGCACACAAATATGTAAGGAATGGAGGGATATGGACCAAGGGCAGGCAGAAGGGATTAATTTTATTTGGCACATGTTTGGTACAACATCGTGGGCTGAGGGGCCCATCCCTGTGTGTACTGTTCTATATTCTATGCTTCCACCTTGGTGCTCCTGATTTCTTGTCATATAAACGGGGCTGACAGAAACCCAGGTGAAATAACAGGCTTTCTGCTGTTGCTGCAGAGTTTCTATCAAAGCTATAGCAGGAGATCAGCAGATCTCCATGAAAGTATGATCTCCTTGGAATTGTAATCACAGAGAAGCATACACATTGACTATCCTCAAATGAAAATGTCTAAGCAAAAATTCTGTCTTTTAACATAACATCCCCATTTATGTTGATGTCTAAAACCACTTCTCAGCATAACTTGACAAATATTATAATCTATACTCAGTGAATTTCTACTCTAAATATAAACAGTATAAGGGGATAATTGCATAAACATGGATGTGACGTATTTAGTTTCTTGCGTTCGATGTTTTGAACTTATTACTATTTCTCATGCTATTTGGAACTAGACATGTTGAACTTAGTATCAGGAACTCAATTTTAAGCTATAACTTAAGATGAACACTAAATTACATTCTAAAGCTCGAGTTTGTTTCTTTTCACTTTGCTAGTGGTCAGTTGTAGAGTGCTTTTACTTACTTTTGCTGATGGAATACCCTCTGGAGGTCGACAATGGAGCAAAACCTCTTGGTCCAATGGAACTTCTTTCCCTAATGGTTCTTGTTCAAAATTCTTCCGTAGATCTCCAAATCAGAAACAAGAATTATCATTTAGAAAATCTGCACTGTTATGAAACCAGTTCTGTTGATAAACATAAGCGTATGAATATGTTCTATTAAAGAGCTACTTTATTTGAAGTATTCAATCTGTAAAAACATCAAAATCTCAACATTTTTACAAATTATTATTTAAACACCTGCTAATATCTGTCTAGAAGAAATTAAGGTAATAAAAAGGAGCCTCAGTTAAAATTCAGAGACATCTATTTAGTTTTAGTAACTGGTGAAACTGACATCCTCTTCCACTACAATTACAAAATGTCATTGTTAAGAATCTGACCGAGTGTTATGCATGCTTCCAAGATCGTCATGGGGCAGGACACATGCACAATGCCTCAACTCTGCACTGAAACTGACCCATTGGGCTGATTAATATGCAGAGTGAGTTCCTGGCAGGAACTCCATTGTCAAGAGGGACTCATGCTGAGGAGGAATATCCTAGTGTAGGCACTTTCTCCAGCATTAAAAGTGCCAAGAACCAAAATTGAAATGCCAGGGAACATGAGACAAAAATCAAAATGTTACAATGATGGCCTAATAATTTGAAACACTAAACTTAACATAAAACCACAATCAGGCAGAAGAACATCTCATTAAAAAAAGAATCACACAGTTAATCAATGAAATTGCTGCTGTATTCAGCTATGTCATCTCACTAATAATTTACCATTATTGTGAGAACATAACTTATGGAAACTCACTGTGTGGTTGCTTTGGCTTAAAACATAAATTACTTAAGAAAATCCTTCAACTGTTCAATGTCAGCATTGGAGTAGAGACTTAAAATAACATTATGGGGGAATAAAATAAATGTTTTTGAATTCAAATGATTTTTATTGTAACATGTATTTTACATTGAGAAGTACAGTAAAATACAGTAAAAAGATTTCATTTGTCACTATAATCCATGAATTGTTTAAACACAAGATAAAATAAAAAGGTATAGCTTAAAGAGAAGTCCATCTACATTCCACTGCCTCCTATATAAATTCTGAGCCAGTTCAGAACCGCCACCGCCTCGTTGCCAACTGTGCCAGGCCCAACCAACAATGAAATTGCCTATCTAAAGGCGCCATTTTCACTGCTGGGCCGATTCTCCTCTGCCACTGCCTCACTGACACCTGTGCCGGACACACCATCAGAGTTGTGTATCTCGCTCTGGACCACCTCGTTGATGTCGCCATGATGCCCCACTACCATCTCTTTGCCTCTGCCAGCACCAGATCCAACCAATGATGAAATCGCCGTTCCTCAGGCACCATCTTTCACCACTTGGGCTATATTGTGGACACCACCTCTGCCAATTCCAGTTTCTGTGCTTACTCCGGAAAAGTAAGTAAAGACTCACTTAAGTCTGCACAGGCTTACTTGAGTCCATGCTGGAAAAACTCAAGTCCACACTGGGCTCACTCTCCTCCACCATGAGTGCATGTTGGGATAACTCGCTGTTGCTGATGTCATTTAAGTTCTTCACAGAGGACCAGAGATAAGTAAGAGAGAGAAAACAAAAGGAAAGATAGAGAAAAAAGGGAAGAAATGAAGAGAAAAGCAGATGGAGTGGACAAGCCCCGTGTCAGGATCTCTATTCCGTCACCATGTTGGACCCTTCCATATTTTCATGTTGTCATGTTGACTGCGTTGTCTCACAGCCCTGTCAAAAAGCCAATAACTGAAAATACTTTCTTGACGAAGAGTTTAATTTTGTCATGTATCAAAATTAATTTTATAGGAGTACAATATATCCACTTTCAAAGCTACATTGGACAAACAATCTCAATTGAAAGATAATCTTGTCAGGCTAGAAATTATGTAACCTCTTTTCAACAAAACTTTCAGCAGCTGAAAGGAAGAAAGATAAGCTGTCAACTTAAAATCTACAAGAGTGTCATCACAGTCAAAGTAAACAAGGACAGCAATGTCATGAGTTATATTACAATGTGGATTACAGACAAGGAGAAGAAGATAAATGACCATATGCCCTGCATTACTAGGACTGCATCAGATTTTACATTCTGACAAAATGTTTTAATGAAGCTTAGAGTTGGTTCCACTAAGTGATCAATTCAGGAGTACCCAATATTGGATTTGTTTTGCCAGAAGTTCAATTCAGATTTCTCATTATGTAACCGTATCTGTGCCGCTTCACATCTTACCAGCAAAGCTTTTCTTCATTTGCTGCCGAGTTCAAGGAAACTGGATGATTGCATTCACAGTTAGTTTGACATTGCCCACTTTGCAGTTTGCAATTATACTTTTATTGAACGGAGAGCCATCTGTCTCAAACTTCATGCCTTTTTGATGCCTTTCCTGCATAGAAACTAGGTCTGTTCATTGTGAATGAGAGCAAGGTGTTCATATTTACTTTTTCTGCCTCCACCATGACACCCTCTTCAAAGGTCAAACTGCAACTTTCTGCATTCTCATTCTTTACCAGAATTTATAGTCCTGAAAAGTGGGCTGTGGGGCAAGTTCAATGGTTAGTTGTCTATTCAAGATATTGAGTTTCTGTGATCTTTTACACTGGACTCAAAGTATTGAATGTCAGTTCCTTACATTGTATATCTTTGGATAAGTAATTAACTGAAATGGTAGAATTCTCCTTTGCTAGCCTGAACGGAGCTGGAGGCAAAAAAGTCAGGTGTCGTAATCACCTTCACTGCAAATCTCTTTGTAACAGATGGCACAGATGAACTTTATAATTCTAACAATGTGATTCTGGATCAGTTCCAAGAATTGTGCGTGAGTATGCATGTTTGTACTGATGGGTCCGCCACCTGATCTCTGAAAGTACGCCTTCTTAAATATTCAGCATTATGCAATAAACACTCTGGCAGCAAAAAGGGCATTTTGGAGCTCATACTTCTCTCATCTCTGCTTGTACCTTTGCTGGCTGGACATTCTGTGCTCTTAACATTCACTTGTGTTGCACTGTTTCATTTCCAACAGTGGAAGAAGTATGTTTTAATAATTTCAAACAACATTCTAAGAATGTTGATATTAACAGGTTCCTAGGACTCCATTTTCACTAGGATGGTACTGTTGATGCTAGCAACAACTCAGCGTAAATTGCTCCTGTCAGAGGCAGCCCACATAACCAAACCTGCTGCTGTTCAGACAGGATTCTGGTGCCGGTATTTTAGTCCACAAGGTAAATTAAAGTTGCTAACAGACTAAATTGTTTTAGTACAAGCCGCATGCACAGCCCTCCACAGACACCGGGGAAGATAGTAACACCAAAAATAATCATTAGTATAAGTTTCAAAGCTGAATATGTACAGTTTTGCACTGTCCCAGCTTACCTCAAATTGGTACAGTTGATGCGCAACATTCTGCAGTATAAAACATCTTGTTTAAAGCAGCAAGTCTCAGAATCAGAATCTTCACAAAAATATGATAGATCTCCTCAAAACTAACACTCATTACTTGCATGTTTATTACGGCTAAAATCAAATAAAACTACTGCATAGGTGTACTGAGTATCAACGATAAATATCTATTTCTGCTACAGTAATGTTGGAGTACTTAGTGAATTATAGCAATTGATGGGAACAGGAATTGGCATTTATAAAACTAATTTTGGCAGAGTTTTATATAATCCAAGCTTTAAAATTATATATCAATTTGTTTCAATTGATGCATCATGAAAAGAATTATTTTATTTTAATTTTGTCATTCATGAAATTAGTAATATCACTGCAATATAAGTATAATTTATCTCAGTTCATGACTATTTCAATGAGCCTGAAAGTTTGCATCTTAATATTAAATTATTGGAAACTTTTAGACACAATTGTGGTTCTCCTATGGAATTGGGTGCAATAAATGGAAAGATATATCTTGTGCAACAGAAGCATTATAATATTGTGTGTTACACATTATAGAATACCACTTGCACATGTACAAAATAAAATCTCTTTTCCTGTAATGGCATTAGCATCTTTGCCTTTGGATAATCCTTTTGGCAAGTTTTCCTTTCTTTTTCTTTGTATGTATGTACTACACACTTGTCATTGTGGCATCTGTTTTCCTCTGTGTCCAACTCCTCCTTGTTGGTGCATTCTCATTCTTCCTGCAAGTATCAATCCTGCACTTTATTCCCTACATATCCTTCAATATCTTCGATGGTCTCTGTGAGCAGACATAGAAAGGGCTCAGAGAAAGGTCCGTTGTGATTGCTAAGTCTATGGTGAGGAAAATTAGGAAAGTCTAATTGGTGTTGTGAGAAACACATAAACAGAGAAGGCAGAGATTTGAATTAAAATCAAGATTGAATAGTTGTGGGTAAATCATCACAAGTTATCTTTAATTCGGCTACTTATTAAGAAATCTCACAGATAATCAAGTACTGAAACAATAATTCAAACTTTATTGCCTGTAGCAACCAAATACGACCCCTCAAGTAAGCAACCAGAAGCCTGTGACTCAACTTATCAATTACCTGCAGCTGCTTACTTATCAAAAGTAATTTTGTTCTTCTTACATTTGGCATTGACTGTCTGCTCATAGACACAGCTCTCCTGTGATTAACTCCTTAAATTCTTCTGAAGGGCAATAAAGTTATTCTTGAGGCATATCAAGCAGGCGTTAAAGCAATTTTGTCTATTTGCCTCCACTCCCAGGCATGGCTAATTGCTTTCAATTCCTGTATAAGTTTGTCCTTGTCCTTTAACAGTTTATTCCAGTCAGAGTAATTACTGATTCTTGAATGTAACAGCTTATCTTTGTGGATTCATTCAATCCGTGAACAGTTATTAACATTCTGAAGTCTATAATATCACAGAACCATAATATATAGCAACACTGCAAGAGTATAATCTGTGGTTAAAATTACTTTGAGCCTCTGTGAACACACAGGGAAGAAGGGTTTGATGGGAATATGCAACAGGGTTAGGGTTAGGTGGTCAGTTCTTTGCTGGTACTTGGATGGATTGAAGTGCTAACTTGGGGGAGTGGAGGAACTAGCA